GGTTCCTCATCTTCTCTAACTCTTCTAACTTCCCTCCTACCTTCCCCGTCTGTCTGTTTAGTCGAGGCAGATCCCTTCCTCCCCACGCCGTTAGTCAGCTGACATATTGAGGGCGCTGTGAATGCTTTACATTAACGCTGGAGGGAGTGACACACTTAGCAGGTGGAGGAAAAGGAAGCAGAAACTACTCCAACCGATTTCAGAGCTCCGAGCGTTTCTGTCGGAAATTTTCAGCATCTCACGTTTTCGTCTGTGAATTAGCTCTAAATCTGGTCAGATGGACGTTTTTAAACCGAGACTAAATGATCAAAATTAACTAGTTTTACTCTTTAAAAAGAGACTTTCAGAGAGACTTATGTTTGACCCAATGGAAGGACATCCAGAGGACAGTTTTTAACCTTTTATATCACTGGAAGGACATCTAGAGTGCGTGTTTCTATACAGTATGGTCGAGGTTAACCACTTTTTAAGATATCCAGAGGCGATTCTCTGACTTTTTACCTCCATAGGACTCGATGTTTATCTATAAAATGGTCTGATGGGGTAATTTCTTTTTTCTAGAAGGTCATTTAGAGGGCACTTCATGTGTGGAAGGACATCCAGAGGGCCGTTCTCACTCTTTATCTCTGCAGCAGGGGGAATACAGAGGGGAGAGGCATCTAGAGGGTAATTTCTGACTTTTTATCTGGCAGAAAGGATCATGTTTTTATGTCCTCTGGGTAATTAGAGGAGGTTTTCTTCATCGTTTAAACACTAAAGGAGCTCCTCATCCTCGCTGTGCAGAGGCGGCTTTTTCCACAGTTTATGTGAGAGGGCCTCCAGATGTCATAATTCTACCTTTTTATCACCTGGAAGGACTTTCAGGGACCTCGTGCTTTAGAAGGACATCTTCACCTCTATGATTTTAATTTGAGCTGCAGTTTAGTTTCATAAACTGTCATTTCGGGTGGAGACGAAAGGTTAAAGTTGGGGTCTGCTCCACGACAGTGACTCCTCTGACGCCCTTGAGCCCAGTCCTGCGGTCCTGCGGCGTAGAGACACATCAATCCGGACAGCATCAGTAAATCTAAATGTGTAAACAGCTTTAAATACGACATGCGGAGCTGAGCTGGAGGTCCCAGCTGCTCCACGTCCTCTCCCCCGCTCAGCGCTGGAAATGAGCTTTGATCCGGGCTAATTCAGCTGCTGCTGGGAGGCTTTGGTGTGGACCCGAGCTCCCAGCAGGCTTTGTGTCACTGATGTTTTACCACGGTTTTGTTAATCTGTCCTGTGGAGGTTCAGAAGGAAAACCAGAGGAGGAATTAAAGAGGGAGTGATGAGGCTCTGCAGACGTGGTGATCTGTAACTTTTAATAAATATCTGCCAGTTGACTCAGATTGATATTTCTCTCTTTGTGTCATCTCGCCCTTCAAAGTGTCAGGATGAGTTAGCCGAGGAGTTTCTTTTTATTTCACTGAGTCATAAAACCCAGACCCGGGATTTTCAGACGACTTTACAGCTAAATCAATAGAAAGTTTTATAGAGGCGGCAAATTTACTGCAATACAATACGCTGCATAACACCGCTGCACTAAATCACAACTCTTAGTGGATCATTCTCAAGGTAATGATGACAAATTAAGATGACATAAACTGAGAGGATATGAAGTTAATATTTTCATGTCAGCTCTGAGCTCCTTTAACTCAGCGGGGCCGCCGGTCCTCCCAGTAATCAGCTTACACCTCCTGACGCTCGCTGCTTTCCCCTCAGTTTTACAAAGTCAGATTAAACTATTTACTCAACTATTTATCCGCAGTTTTCTGGCTCTGAAGTTTGACTTTTATTTATTACACCTTAATGTTTGAAAAATTACAACTACTTTTGTTCATTTTGGGACATTCAGAAATGGAAATAAAGTCCAGATTCATAAACCTTTTCCACGTTCAGTTTCAGAACGATGACCTACAGCTCAAAAATTAAAGTGTGAAAAGAATTTATTTTCAGTTTTATGTCAAGAAAGGTACAAAGTCAGAGAAACAATGCTGAAAAGGCTGAAAGTGTATCAACAGGAAGTTGATGGTAACACCTGCCCACAACGCCAAAACTCCCCAGCCGAAGACTAAGGGGGCTCTCACGCCTACGTGATTTCATCTGGACTTTCTGAACCAAAATGATAAATGTGAAACCTCCCCAAGACCTTGGTCCGGACCAACCTGAACAGACCTTTGTACCAAAATGACACAAGCAGTAAAAGTGTCCGTTATCATGTTGAATGGAGACCATTGTTAGTGTTAACCACCACACCACTGCACCGCCCATCTACACCACTGCACCGCCCGCTGTCAGAGGTAGAAAATCAAAAACAGTACGATGGAGGAAATGACGATTTCATCCATGTTTAGAATATTCAAGACCCGCGTTATTCAACATGTTGACGTCAGACGCCCGCCGGCCTGATGACCAATCAACGTAAACTACAGGGACGCACAAAGAGCGTAGTTGGTGACGATATCATGTATGTTCATCATGTAAAGTCTGTTAGTCTATTTTCATTAATGACAGTGTGAAACCTAAACAGTCCAAATCAAATGTAAACAAAGAAAAACACGGACCTTGGTCTGGACTTTCATCACTTGTTTAAAAGGACATACTCTCCTAAAACTCGACACTCCCGTGTTTAACTGATCTAAACATGAACTCTTCTTCTATTTTGTTGGGATCCACCTGTATACCTGAATCTAGACCCTCCAGACCTGGACCCTGATTATGAACAAAGACTGATGACGCTCGTTGGGAAAGTTTGTGGAAAATGAACTCGAGTGTCTCTGAGAACAACGAGCAGCTTCACATCCATCAACCATGCAAATGAAAATCGATGCCCAGGAGCAGAAAATCACTGACTCTGGGAGGAGAGCAGGTCGTAATGCCAGTCACACCTGCAGCCGGCTGATGGATGAGGAGCGGGGGGACGACGTGAACACCTCCAGGGAAAACAATCAGCACTGTCAGGAGGTCCACCTCCAGACTAGATCCACATCACAGGACTTCTGATCAACCCTGAAAGCTGCAGAAGACACTGCACTGACCCGACCTACAGCAGGAGCTCAGATGTTGAGTTCAGGGTCATGTTCCTCAGAAATGTTCTCCCTGATAGAGGATCTCAGCTGCTCAACAGTTCAGGGTCTCTATGGTCCTGTTTTTGGGGTCATGATGGTCCGAACGTTTCCAAGTCAGGACCGCATCAGTCCAGGACTCTTCCGCGACCAAGAGAGGGCACTCCACCTTTTTCCACCTGAGAACCACGGACTCAGATTTAGATGGTTCTGGTTTTGGTTCTCATCCCAGCCGCTGGTTAAAAACTGATCCAGCTGGGACTCAGTCGGTCGTCTCCCAATAAAGAAGGTCGGGGGTTCGATTGTCCTTCAGCGAGACACTTGACCTTCCTGCCTCTGCTGGCTGATTGGATTAAAGCGTCTGCTGAATGGAGATGTTAAATCTGATGAGTCAGGACCGACAGGACCAGAACTTCGACCCAAAGATACCGAGTTAAAACCCACGAAGTTTGACCTTTATATTCGATAAAACTGGACCAGACTCCAGACATCATCACTGTCTCTTCTAAACCTGCTCCACCTGACAGGAGACGTCCCACTTAAGCCCCGCCTCCTCAAACTACGTCACAGTACAGTCTGAGTTTCACACTTTCCTTCCTCCTTCACTCTCAACCTGCGAAGTTTCAGGCGCCGTTGCTCTGAAACCTTCGCTCCGAACTCTCTCTCTCTCTCTCCGTCCGGCTCCTCGGCTTTGATTGGCTGTCGGCCGCTCGCTGAGTTGGCGTTTGTTCTGACAGTTTTCAGTCTTTTGTTCTGCAGCCAGATAATTCATCACTTCTGCCAAGAACACGGCGTCTGTGATCCTGCTGCTTCGCTCTGTGTGGGACTCCAAACTTGTGAAACGATTTTAATGAATCGGGGTGAAAAGTGGGCGATGGCGATGGGAGGGGGAGGGGCCAAGATGGAGTGGACGCTGCTTGAACAACGAGCAAGCGCAGATTTGATTCTCAGTTTTTGTTGATTGGAATGAAAAATCTCAAAGTTCTCTGAGAAATATTTAATTTTTAACCATCAGTTTTGATTTTGTGTTTTACGAGGCTGTGGTTCTGGTTTTGGACGGACAGGAGAACCCGGACCCGGTACTTTTCTTTGTCGTATTCAGAGTGTCCAGATTTATGGTATAATCCATATTACGAGTTAAATGGCGTGTTTGTGATCAAGAATAGAGCGTCAGAAGTGCGTGTTCACAGGTCTGAGTTTGTCCCTGATTTAAAAAGTTCGGAGACTTTGATTCTGAACTTTTTTCGCGCCTCACCGCCGACTCTTACAAACGTCCCGCTGCTGCTGCTGCTCCCGCAGACACTCGCTGTCAATAAAGATAAATGTTTCTCAGACCGCACAGCGGACATGGGGCTGCTGTGCGGTCTTCAATCAGGTCCTCATGGTGCCGACCCGCTCATGTGAAGAACAGGCCTCAGAGCTCCGACCGCCTGCTGCTCTCCCTCATCTGAGGCGGGCAGCGGGAGTTTGGAGGCGATGCGCCGCTCAGATGATGGAATATGACCAGCAGCCCGCGGCGGGTAGACTCCACCCCCTACCTGGGAGAAGGGGCGGGGTCTGATAAATAATGAGAGAGGCACATGGAGGGCACAAGACAGGGACCCTGAAGACCAGCCGGGGAGACAGGAGCAGGTTTGAATCCCACCCTCACAGCAGCGTCTGAGTGTGTGTGTGTGTGTGTGTGTGTGTGTGTGTGTGTGTGTGTGTGTGTGTGTGTGTGTGTGTAAACAGGAATAATCCATATGAAGCAGATCAGGGCTTGTCATGTCCAATCTCACAGCTGCTGTCTCCGAGCCGCTTTCTTCTCGCTGCAAACTGCCACTTCCACTCTCTCTCTGCGCTCTGCACCAGTTCTGTCAATCACAGCGCCCTGCTGCATCCAGACAACCCGGCTCCCTCCCTCCCTCCCTCCTCCTCCTCCTCCTCCTCCTCCTCCTCTTTTCACCAAGTTTCCGAGGCAACAGGCGGATGCTGCTCTATCAGTCATCTCAGCCTCTCCTCTGTCGGACCGAACAGAACCTGTAACTGAGACGATTCAGACGCTGACATTTGAATAAGTGAGGAGACGGATGAGAGGAGGAGGAGGAGGAGGAGGAGGAGGAGTGAGAGGATCAAAAACACATTGTTGAGCTCTGTAGGTCATCACTGTCACAGCCCGCTTCCTCTCAGGATGACCGAAACGAAGGTTCAGTCACTCCAGAGCGAAACAAACCAAACCTCACAAGAGCCTGCAGATTCCCGTTCAATCACACGATAACGAGTTGTCTCTCTAAAGACAGACACATAGACATATAAGCAGTAGATTGTGTCCTTCCAGAGGAGGAAATCTACTTCTAGACTTCTAGAATCAGCATCTCCTCATCCATGGTGTCATCGGGGTGAAATGACGTCTAAAAACCTTTCACTTGTTCGTCTCCGAGTGTTTTATTTTGAAAAGAAGCCGGATGTTTTATTTTGTGTCTGTGCCCGACTTCCTTTCCAGCACGGGTTAATCTGTGCTGAATTTATCCGCCATGCTCCGGCGTCCAGAAAAAATAGAACTCTTGTGATCAGCTGAGGAGTCCGGCGATCGGCAGAGGAACGGAAAGAAGTCGGTGTAAATTGACACGTTAACTTGAAAGGAAACAATAAGCGGTGATCGGCGCCATTCCGCATGCCGTGGAATTTGGGGGTAAGACCTTCTCCCTAATCCCCTCCCCCTAATCCACCAGCCAACAGGAAGTAGTATTTTGAGGGGCCTTGTCGAGTCAACGAACTTGTACAATGAAGACTGGTGGAAAGGGACACATTTGATTGGTGAAATAGTGGGCGTGGCATGAGAGATGCGACTGGCCACGCCCACAAATTTTTAAATTTCATCCTTTTAGCAGGTTTAACCCAGAAAATATGCGCTTTATGGGACTTTTACATCCTGAATATCTATTAACTATTAACAAACTATTACGATCAGCTACGATCGGAGGATACGACCTTTTAGGAGACGATCAGGATGAAGGTGGAGATTGGGAGTAAACCTGAAGATGTTGTTTTAAACTGAGGATGCAGCATCTATGATTTCCAGTTCTTCGTTGAAAGGACAACTGGACTTATTTGAGACGTTTCACCTAAGGCGTCGTCCTTTCCAAAAGAGTGTTCGATTTAGATTTTGACCACGGGTACAACCAGCTGAAATAAGTTCCCTCTGTGGGGTGTCTGGACTCTCCTTTAGAGATCAGGTGAGAAGCTCCATCATCCAGGAGGAGCTCAGAGTCGAGCTGCTGCTCCTTCACGTTGAGAGGAGTCAGATGAGCTGGTTTGGGCATCTAACCAGGATGTCTCCGGGACGTCTCACTGGTGAGGTCTTCAGGGTAGGAGAGCCCAGAGACTTTGTCTCTCAGCTGGTCTGGGAACATCTCAGGGTCCCCCAGGGAGAGAGGGAAGTCTGGGCTTCTCTGTTTCTGACTCTGGATGAGCAGTAGAAGATGGATGGATGGATGGATGGATGGATGGATGGATGGATGGATGGATGGATGGATGGACTCTATCAGCTTCACTCAAAAACGTCATTATTAACACGTGTCCATCACTGATGAACACTTTGGCTCTGTGTTGAACATGTTTTATTCATACAGAATATTTCTGCAGTAAAAAGTCGGACTGTTCCTCCTCAGAGGTCGTCGCTCACAGATCAGATACTCCATCAATCGTAAACGTCGTCCTCTCCTCCTCGATCGCTTCATTTCTTCGTATGTGAGACTTTTTTGTTTGTGTCGATGTGTTTGTTTCTGTCTGTGTGGGTGTGCCGTAGTTTGTGAGTCTCAGAGGAAATGAAGAACCGTCCGCCGTCGTAGATCCACTTAGTTTTCCTCTTAGTCTTCCAGATGACATCAGACGGCGGCGGCGGCGCCATCATTAGCCGTGGGTTGTTTTCCTGTTAACAGAGAAAAAAAGAGCGAGTGTCTCTTTTCTTCACGTTGAGCGTAAATCTGACAGAAATATGAAGTTGTTGGTGTCGTGTTGTTTTGACAGGAAGTGGCTCTCAGATAAAATCCTGGTGTACGTTCATTCGCCACCTCAGAGGAGTCAGTCCGTCATCAGTTTACCTGATCAGTGTCTCTTCTTGACTCCTCGGCGGTTAAAGATCAGCTTCAGTATCTGTTTTTACTCTGATGGGTTTTTATTGATTCACTAAAACAGGAAGTCTGACACGCTCACTGTTTGTTTGAAGGTCTTCAGACGGTACGTGGCGTCGTTTTCCACATCGTGAGCATCGGTCTTTGAAGGTGGAGTCAGAAATGAAGGTGTTGAAGGTTTCTGAGCAGGTTGTCAGAGTCTGAGCCGATCAGGAGGTGAAACAGAGAGAGAGACGGGGACGTCAGGAGTCAAACGGAGGTCAGGAGCTGTGAGCGGCCCGTCAGAACAAAGATCATCACGCCTGTTTTCAGACTCACACGGCAGTGATTGAAATGTTCCACTGAAGTGTAAAAGGCCCGCCGTGACAGGAACTGACGTGTCTGCTCGAGAAACAGAATATAAAACCTGTCCAACACGGTGTTAGAGTTCACCGCACGCTTGATTTACAGATTTAAAGGAGTATTACAAAATAAAAGTCAAAAATGAAGCTGAAGTGACTCTGACCTGCTCCAACGTGACCTTTTTATCAGTCAGCCAGAATCAATCAGCCTGTAAACAGACGAATGTATGATCAAGTAAAACTACCAAACGGGCATTTAGACACGTTTTATCCACAGGACTGACAGAAAGGAGGTACTTTATCTACACTTGAAGGGTGAAAAAGGAAATTTTTGTTAAGTTTAATAGAGTTTTTGTTCACACCTTATGCACAAAAATGGAAAACAGCAGGAACTTCATTTATATTAAATACCCTGAAAGTCTTTCACAGGGCACTTTGTTTACATCTGATATACTTAAAGGGCAGCAGCACATTTTTACTTCCATTAACTTCCCTGACGAGTGACAGCAGGGTGCTTCATTTACACTCAATTTACTTAAAGGGAAACCAGATGCACTTTTCTCCTATTAAATACACTAAAGGGATGAAAAAAACTCTTTGTTTACATTTGATTCACGGCAAGTGCAACACAAGTACTCTGTTAGACAGTTAGACTCTATCACATTTGATCCACTGGAAAGGCATCTGGAAAGGCATCCAGAGGGCGCTTTGTTTACATTTAATACCCCAAACAGCCATCAAGAGGGTACTTTGTTTACATTTGATACTGTAAAATGGCATCCAGAGGGTACTCTCTTTTAATACACTAAACATGTATCCAGAGGGTACTTTGTTTACATTCAGCTGTCTGACAAGGTAGCGATTGGGCTCCTTGTTAACTTTCAAAACACTAGACAGGAAAGTAGAGGCGCTTATTTTACATTAAAAGGGTTTTTAAAGGGGCCCTTTGTTTACATTTAAGACCCCAAACAGCCATCAAGAGGGTACTTTATATACATTTGATACAGTAAAATGGCATCCAGAGGGTACTTTGTTTACATTTAATACACTAAACAGGCATCAAGAGGGTACTTTGTTTACATTTAATACACTGAACAGGCACAAAAGGGCACTTTGTTTACATTCAGCTGTCTGACAAGGTAGCGATTGGGCTCCTTGTTTACTTTCAAAACACTAGACAGGAAGTAGAGGCGCTTATTTTACAATAAATACAGTGAAAGGGTTTTCAGAGGGCCCTTTGTTTACATTTAACTAAAGGGGATAGATTTACATTTAGCTTCCAGAACAGGCATCCAGAGGTCACTTTATTTATAATCAATAGAGTTTTCTGAGCGTCCAGTTCTGCCCGGTTTTGAAACCTCTCAGCATGTCTGGATTGTTTTAGAAGTTTAATATCAAATTGAGCGGATGTTGCTCTAAAATGATGAAAATGTAAAAAATTTGCGAACTTCTCCTTTAAACTGTCATTATTAGTTCACGTGTCCTTAACCAGTCCGAGGTCAGTCCTGTGTGATCTGTGTAAATGACAGAAGGAAGCGTCTGAAGGTGTCTTCTTCTCAGAGCGATCTGTTGAGTGAAATGTCGGCCTTTGGTTACAGCGCCCCCGGTGGACCAATTAGTGTAGTTTACGATGAGGAACAGTAGAGGCACGTGTGAAACAACACTAAACCACAGACGCAGACGCGCTCTGCTTCTTTCAGGACTTCAGTCTTTACAGCGTCGACCTTGAACGGAGAAGTCGGTGCGGCCAGATTAGAAAACCACTCTGGGTACTTCAGAAAAAGGCCGCGGTTAGCTCGCTCTCAGATACTGTCGATGGATTTATCTCCACGCCGCTTCGCCAAAGAAACTCAATTTGCTGCTGATCAAATGTTTGATCCTGATTATCGGCTCCAAATGGAAAGTTTCAGCCGTCAGATTCTCCTTTTTGTCTTTTTTTGTGGAGATAATTATCCAGAATGAATTTTACATGAATGGAGGGACGCTGAGCCGCTCTCATCGGTAGTTTGAGCACAGCCGACACTGAGCAAATGAATCTAAAAATTACCATAGGTCACTGAATTAATTCTCCAAATGGCAATTGCTGTGATTTCTCCTGGGTGAGGATGACGAGCAGGCTGCTTCCTCGCTCACCTGTGGGAGTGAAGGTGAGTCTGCAGCCTTAGAGGAGTTTAGGAGGTACGTCCCTCTCTGGGCGCTCAACTCGCCTTTACAGCCTCCTCATTGGCTGACCTGTATGAGGAAGGTTATGATTGGATGATTTAGACTTTTAAGGACTAAACTTTACAAACTCAAACACTGTGATTAAAGTAAATGTTTGTGGAGAATGAGGCCTGACCAGTACTCCAGTTGAGGGGTGAAAATGGTCAAAATGATCCCCCTCTAAAACGGTCATCACAACTCTCCATCCCTCGAGTGAATGTGGAAATATTACAACTATTTTAACATTAGAAATATCACAGCAGTTTTAACACATACCTACAAACACGCCTCTACTTTTCCTTCTCTCTACTCCATGGTGTCCATTCACGCCATCATGCTGACTCATGTTTCCAAATATGGAAACAGAGCGCGTGATTTCCAGGTGTAAAATATCTGTGTATGGAGGGTCAAAGTGGTCACATGATGCAATTCCCTTGTTGTTTGTCAA